CGCAGAAGAGTTGAGGCCCCTAAGAGAAGGAAAGTCTATGCTAAGTGAGGTTGCATCCCTATTTTTAGACGACTCACATTAATGAGCTATTAATTATTGGAATACTAACTTGACTTTTATGTTATGCTAACAAATTTAGAAGAAAACACTACAAAATCCTTTATCTAAATCATTATAATCCAATATATTAACTTATCTTTAGTTCATAATTTTTTAGAAAAAAAGTGATCAAATATGTCACTACCCAACCTTTTTATTTTTGTTATAATATATTTTTTTATTATAAACAATTGCCCCCAAATCATCATAAAACATTTCATATGGCCCCACCACTATGGTCATAGGACTAAGAAAAAAATAAAAAATAATAAAAAATAAAAAATAAGAATTTTTTTTAACACTACCCAACCTAACTTAACTCATTTATTATAACTTATTAAATAATATCTCAAGACCTCTTTGAAAAAAAAATATTGCCCAAGACCTCTTTGGAAATAATTTCTTTTCATCATCCCATTCTACAATATAGTTGCACTAAATTGTCAATATATATATATATATATATATATATATATGTTGCACTAAATTGTCAATATATATATATATATATAACGAAAGTTGGATGCTCTGGCTAATCATACCATATTATGTATGTTTTTTTCTATAATAATCATAGTAAGCCAGGTATAGTATCATATTATATCATATAAGTAAGAATGGATAAGAGGTACAATACACAATAGTCTTCAGTCCCAGTCCTTCGGCTTTCAATATCATATCAAATTCTTCATTATATCATTCATCTTATATCATGTTAACATCACTAACCCATATATAAAAGAAAGCCCATTTGGTCCACTCTAATATGTAGGATATCATATCTCCATCATCCTAACTAATAATAGATAGACTTATTTGCATACATACATTTCATAATATATATAACATAACAAACATTAGAAAAAATATTTAATATCCAGCTCACTATATCATTTATAGTGCATATAAAAATAATATATAAATTAGAGATAGTGGGATTTATATAATAATTTAGTGTGCTCTTTTTTACATATATAATCTCATTAGATTAACTTTAGCAACTATGCATGCAATTATTTTTTTATTAAACTTTTGTAATAATAATTTAACAAAGTTCTAAATTTATTTATTTAATTCAAATTAAAATATACGCATTAACATATGAAAATGCTCAATGAAAATTCAATAAGATCATGCCAATATGTGCAGAATGATTAAAATAAAGAAATACCTAAAGTTACCGGTTGAAAGTTTATTGAAAATTGAGATATTCTAAGTTTTGTAAGTTGTGACCAAATTAAATTTTAAAAAACACAAAATAATAAAAATTAATTAAAAAAAAAAGGTAATGGTAATGATAACCTACCTATAGTTAAATAATTTTCTGAATCCTTCAAGTTTATGAAGGAATTAAAATGAAATAGGCTTTGTAAAGATGTTAGAATTGAATGAAATATTTAAGAATAAAGCCAATGGTTTAAATATAATTATGCAATTTATTTAGCTTTTAAAATAAAATTCATATAAAATCAATTATGCAATTTATTTAGCTTTTAAAATAAAATTCATATAAAATCTTTTATAAATTAAAATTTAATGTTCTAAAAATTATTAAAAAAAACCACAAAACAATTCATCATGTCTAGAGCACTTAGATGAAAATAGTTTACAAAATGGACATTTGATGGTTCCAAAAAATCTATTTCTATTGATATTTGTAAATTTCTTAAGGAGTTTTAGTTGAATAAAAACAACCTCTTATTTTTATATATGTAATGCCCATAAAATGAAAAAAATTTATCATATATAGAGTACAACATTCTCTATTATATAATGATCAAATTTATGACTCTAAAAATATATTTGATTGTTACAGCTTAAAATATATCTTTTAGAAATTTAAGTGATCATACCTTTGTTTTTAGGCAACATTTATAATTTTTTGTTAGATCAAAATAACTTGAAAAAACATTTTAATGGCCATTTTCTTATATTTATATAATGAATTCAACAAAAGTAAATATATGAGAGCTTTATGGTTATTTATTTATGAAATTCTAAGCTAAGGTTATTATACTCAACCATAAAAAATTAAGAAGAGTCTCAATGCTCATAGGGTTCACTTTTGCGATGAGATCTGCAACGATAACATGCAAGTCCCCTCTAATCAACGAGTCTACGTGTTTACCCTACTGAAGAATACAAAATTTTACATAATGCGACGTTCATCTAAGGCAAAAACAAGTGAAAAAAAAAACACCCAGCCATTCCCCCTTTGCGGTTGCCAAATTTTTCTGTGCGGATACGGACGTTGTCTAGAGGCAAATCAGCGCACGTCATGACACCTCTTTGTTGTGTATCGCGATTGTGTACATGCTATGTACCGGGTGATGTGACGCGCCCTGATCCACCTCCGAACGATCTGGTGTCCGGACAGTTCGATGTCCGCACAAAATAATTTCTCTTTACGATGAGATCCATCATGAGTAGCATCCAACTCCCCTCCAATCAACGAGTCAAAATGATTACCCCTAAGAAGACTACAATATCTGATATGTGTTGAGGCCCATTTTATGATAACAAAAAAATAAAAAAGGCCATATCCAATATTTTTATCATCGTTTTATTAGTGAGAAGGCTTACTTTGTCACGTTACCTACGAGTTATAGGGCTTCCCTTTAATTATTTATGAACATGCATGGTGGTTCAATTGCATGGGTTTAACAAATTGATAATGTGGGATCAATGTTAGCCACCCTACAATTTGTTATAGATTTGCAAAGCACTACAAACTAAGGCTTCGTTTGGGACGATTTTTTTATTGCTTTTTAAAACGGAGTTTTAGTACAATTTTTTAAAAATTTTGTACTAAAACTCCGTTTTCAGAAGTAATAAAAAAGCCGTCCCAAATAAAGCCTAAGATTTCATTTGGGATAATTTTTTTACTGCTTCATAAAGTAGCTTTTTAATACAAAAATTAAAAATTTTGTACTAATAAATTACTATAAACAATAATAAGAAAGTGATCACAAATGAAGGTTAATAGATATATGAAAGTCTTAGCCTTTGTTCGGGACAGCTTCCTTGCTGTTTTTTAAATCAATTTTTTAGTATAAATTTTTAGTTCAAAAATTTACTTTAGAAATCACTAAAAAAGTTATCCCAAATGAAGACTTAAACATTTGGTTAGAGGTGTATTTATGGGCCTATAAAAAAGAAATTCTTGTCACAATTAAATTAAAGCCATAGTATCAATAAAAAAATATCTAAGTAATTTCATAGACCATTATGAATAGTCACTGATATTGGCCTTATTGTACATGAGCTCAGCTTATTCCCAAGCTACTACATTCATAGTCTTTCATGTTTCCATTCTCAAATTGTCCAAGGATGATAAAGTTGCTATATATGATGTACACGATATTGATAAGAGACACATCAATTATTGAAAATATAATACATCAATGTTGGATAGAGTATTATAATTTTGATATTTTAAAATAGTGTATTAAAATTGAGTAAGTATAATATTAAAAATAATTTAGAAGCAATAATTTATTTAACTAGACTTTGTGCTTCAAATGATTAACATTAGGATCTTAAGAGTCTGGCGTCAATGCAGTGTATCGGGCATCAAGAGAAGGGACAACAATGCTATCGGGAGTCTGGCATTGATGTTGTGCATTAATTATCAGGCGTTGATGTCGAGAGGGCATCTATTGTCGATTTTAAGAGGGAATTGGTTATTGTTGTTAAGGTGATGTCAAACAAAGATGAGTTATCAAGTTGTAGATATATAATTTACTAGCATGAAGCATCAATGTAAATGCAGTGTCTGACTTTGATGTTGAGATGGTTTTGAAATGTCGGTATTATAACGACGTCAGACGTTGATATTGTAATAATGACACACATCGATGTTGTAATGATGACAGATGTCGATGTTAAGATAACATTGAGCATTTTGTGAAACCAAAGTCGCCACCCGTAAAAGAAAAATTAAAATGAGAATATTCCATGATTTGGGTATCAAGTGTTGGCAATTGATTTATTGTTGTCCAGAAGAAATGGGAAATTTAATTTTTATTTTTAAATAATAAAAAAATCAAATACAATAAGTTTTTTTAAAAAATTCATAAAATATTTAAGATACTCGTGTCCAATTTGTTTCTAACTTTTTTTTTTGAATGGAGTATCCACTCGTTGCCACCTCCAAAAGGGCGTTTGGCAGCGTGATAATTCCTCGGCTGACCTAGGAGAGGTACTCACCCCAGAAACCTCCTGGCCTGCACTTGATTGTGTCACACTTAAGAGTCGCTCCTGCTCTAGGGGAATTGAGCACGGGTTGGGGAGTTCTCAACCGCACTCGCCCACCAACCAAGCTAAGCATCAGTGGGTATTTAACTTTTTTTTTTTAATACATATTCTCGGTTTGTCCCATAGGTATCGGATGTATGCCAGATCAGATATGTCCTGTAGTCCATCCATTCTTCTATCTGCCTTAAGATCCGCTCCTCCTCATCTTGAAAATCCCTTGCCCGATCTCCCCCAAAGACAGCGATAGCAGAAGCCAATATTAGTCGCATTCCCCCTCTCCCTTAGATCTTCATCATCATTGCCGAGGATTATGCTACGTTATTAACGGTTAAACAATCCTATGAAGTTTACTAAAAATGTAATTATGCAACAAACTAATTTTAGTTGTTACAACACATCTTGGACAATCTGGGGTGAGTTTTAGACTTTTTTTAGGGAAATCCGAAAATCCGTTCATTTCTCCTAATTTTATGTATAAATTTAGAACTATTTGGTATTTATTCCATATTAAAAAGATCAAATTGTCATCAGATTATTCATTTCTGGAACGGAAAACTACTGCAGAGAGGCGGTGATTGTTCTCCATCTCTTCCCAAACTCAAATCTTTTGTCGAAGGAAGCGATCTTTGTTTGTTGCAAAGGCAATGACGAACACGAAAAGATCATTAGATTACTGGAGGAAAATTTTCAGTTGCGCAAAAACTGATATTTTTGAGTTGATCGACAAAGCGATTCTCGTAGCAGCAGTGGATTATTCGAATGAATTTAACGACAGAAAGGATCAGATTCTTGAAATGCTATATGCTCCTCAGCTTTCCCCCAACAATGGCTATACTAATCCGAAGGAGGAAAAGAACCCCCACCCTGACAACCATCTGGAGAGTCAGATAGTTGGAGAGGTGATGAAGATAAAAGACATCCTTTTCAACAATCAAAATGAGTCTGATTCAATCTTGTATGATTCGCTGAGGACTCTGCAACTTCTGCATTTGTCTGTAGAAACGCTGAAGGCGACTGAAATTGGAAGAACTGTAAATGTTCTGAGAAAACACAGCTCCAAACAGATTCAAGAGCTTGCTCGAACTCTCGTTAATGGATGGAAAGAGTTGGTAGATGAATGGGTTAAATCTGCTGCTGCTAACAAGCTGAAAGAAGTATCTACAATTGATAATGGAAATGGCTACCCATCAAAACTAACTTCTAAACAAAAGCCATGCAGCCATTTCTCTGAAATGAAAGGAAAGCCTTCAAATAGTCCACAAAAGAATGCAGAGCAGTCCAATGAGACTTCAGATATGTCAAAGTTAGAGATTTCAAAGAGAAAACTTATTGAAGGATATCAACGAATAGAACATGCAAAGAAGCAAAGAATGATAAAAATTATAGATCCGCGTGATCTACCAATGGATTCACATGAGAAAGGAAGACGAAAAAGGAAGTCTTGAAGCCGACTTGACCCATAAGGTTGCCGGGTTGATCAGACCCGCCCGCTTACACAGAATACCCCTAAGGCACCGAATCAGGTCGAGCGTGGCTTGCATGAGTGCGGGCGAGCGTCACGCCGCGTGAGTGTGGGTGCGGGCAATTGGCCTGCGCAAGTGGTGATACGGCTACGCGGGTGCCACCAACTGGTCTATGACTCTGGGTGCGGACCGTGGATGCGAGCAAAGGGAGCAGGAGCGAGCATGGTTTTGGGATTAGGGTGTGAATGTAAGCACACCAACGCGGTGCAGCTCGTGCGGTCAAGGGTCCGATTGCAAACGAGAATGCATGGCTACGGCTAACGGATTGCGCACTGTGCAGATCGGGTTGATTTCAAGTTTTCTTATCAACCCAAACTTTTTGGGTTAGAAAATGTAACCTGCACTTGACCCGTCTTGCAAATAGATTGACCCTAACCTGAAACTTTTTGGATCATGTCCGAATCATAATTTTAAAAACAATAGATTGTAAAATGTTTTATGAAATAAAGATAAACATATTGAAAAGATCATAAAATGACTATTTACCAAAGGCTTTAGTTTCATAAATACTTATCATGTTTTGTGTTTTAGTTCAGCTTATAGGTGGACTTGGGATTTCTTTACCTCTGTTAGAAGCACTTTGCCCGAAATTGTTGTAGTTTTCTGATTCTGGTTCATTAACGGTTGTGATCGTACTGATATTTTTGAGTAAATGGTTGTGATTACAGCAGGTTCATTAATTTTTGTAGGAATTTTAGAGTAGTTACAAACAACACTTTGAAAATCGAATCGGTGCGGCCATATCAAAGGGTTTGATCCTGAACCGGTCAAGTTATCAGTCCGGTCAAATTCAGAAACTCTGTTTGCATCGAACCGATTTGAACCTATTGTAAAACTGTCAAACTTGTCTCGATTTGATAGAACTGACCGGTTCAATAAAATACTTCATTTTATTTTAAATAAATTTTAATTGATATATATGTTTTAATGGTTTTAGTTTATTTAATCGATCTAAAATTTTAAAAATAATTTTATTAGATATGGAGATAAGTTCAACCATAATATATGCATGTCATCTCGCATAATATGCATGATTTGTTGTAAGTTATGTAAACTTTATATGTAATGACAACTAGCTCTAACTCTCATATAATGTGGGACTAAAAAAGTTGTATCAATAATAAATAAGTTGGAAATCAAATTTGGCTTGGGTTGAAATGCGAATTTGAGGTGATTGGGCTGCAAATTTTTTTAATGTGTATTATAAATGTCTTATAGTGTATATTATAAAAACTAATAATATTATTTTTAATATTATAAAATTATACATTATATTAAATATTATTCTTATTATAAATTATATTTAAATTATATATTTTTTAAAATTTTGTAAATATATTTCAAATAAAATATTATACTATATAAAATTTATCATCATTATTAGTGTTATGCAAACTATTTGGAATCATGTTATAAATTTATTATTTTTATTGAGTGTTGATTGAGGTATTAAGCATATTATTTTCAAGTCATTTTGAGAAAATCTAGCTATCCTTCTTGTCTTATGTCTAACTATTTTTTTATCAATATATATTGATATTAGTTATGAACTTATCCAATAGACATATTTTTACACTCCTTGTATGTGTCTAAATTAGCTAAACATATTTTTAGTCATTTTGTCTTTAATTCATACCACTATATTTATTTCATGCTAGAAAATCTACAATAATAAATTGATATATTTATTTCATAATTTTATATGAAGATCTTGCACAAATGAGATACTAAATTTTTTACGTGAAAACCTATGAACAATGTTGCAAAAACTGCACCGGACAATAAACCGAAAGGATGAGAGGTTCAATGTTCAATAAATTTTAATTGATATATGTTTTAATGGTTTTAGTTTATTTAATCGATCTAAAATTTTAAAAATAATTTTACTAGATATGGAGTTAAGTTCAACCATAATATATGCATGTCATCTCACATAATATGCATGATTTGTTATAAGTTAGGTAAACTTTATATGTAATAATGACAACTAGCTCTAACTCTCATATAATGTGGGACTAAAAAAGTTGTATGAATAATAAATAAGTTAGAATGCAAATTTGGCTTTGGTTGAGCTGTGAATTTGAGCTGATTGGGCTGCAAATTTTTTTAATGTGCATTATAAATTTTTTATAGTGTATATTATAAAAACTAATAAAATAATTTTTTATATTATAAACTTATACATTATATTAAATATTATTCTTATTATAAATTATATTTATATTATATATGTATTTTTAATTTTGTAAATATATTTAATGCACATATATTTATATTCATATTAAAGATTAATCAAGCTTCTTACCATAATTTATCTCTCTTTAATCGAGCTTGTTCAAGAGTCTTAATTCAATTCCGATCAAATCATTGAACATTTAACCTCTTCTTTTCGGGTTCTATGTTCGGTCTTGAGATATATTTTTTAAGAAAATCTTAACCAACCTGGAAATGATTTTTATTCTTATAAGGTATTAATGATGAGGTAAGTACGCAGTTCATCTTAATATGTTTGTTTTAATTTGGCTAAACATCCCCAAAAAAATGACTAAGGCTTCACTTGGGACGGCTTTTTTACCGCTTCATAAAGTAACTTTTTAGTACATAAAAAATTTATTTTTATACTAGAAAGCTGTTTCAAGAAGAAGCAGTAAAAAAGTCGTCCAAACGAAACCTAAGATGGTGCCATTGCTATGACCATGAAGTAATCTAAGTAATAAGCAATGGCTTTGAGTTTTCAGGCAACTCTATATAATAAGCAACTTCTATCTTGCCAGGAATTCAAGAAGATCAGGTGAGGATATAGAGGTTGAATTCTTTGTCAACAATCCATGCTGCTTTGTGAAAAGGAAGGCTATGCTACCAGATAACATGTTGTTTTTGAACAAAAAAAAAAAAAAAAAAAAAAAATTCTGAAAATTTAGCATTGATTTAAATCGCCGCTAATCTAGAACAAAAATGTTAGTTCAAACCGTCGCCAATTGGAAAATATAGCAACGATTTAAACCGAAGCTTTTTTGGAATAATTGTGGTGGTTATAACCACTGCTAATTGATATGTAGCAGTGGTTTAAACAGCTGCAAATATAATCCCTTCAAAAATTTTTCCTGGTGGTTGCAAAATCATTACGAAAAATATTTGCAACTAACATCAACTACAGAGGTCTTACAGCGGTTTTTAAACGCTGCAAATCAATTTATGACTGATCAAAATTGCGACTCAAGCTTTAATTAAGTGTTGTCGAACCTTTTGTTTTCTTGTAGTTTTCCATGTTGGTTGTTAAGAAAAATTTGTTTAGGGTGATCACTATATAAGAAAGGCAAGCTTTTCTTCCCACAAACATGGTTTAGGTTAAATGACTCACTGCATTTGTAGTAAAATCCCTTCCCCCTTTTTGCAATAATTTCAGAAGGTGTGAGTTTTTTTGAAAAAGCAGCTTCACTGGAGATTTTAGTTTATGCCTTGGCTTGCAAGAATTTTCTTAAGAATAAAGTCAAGCGCCGGTATAAACATAATTAGGCAAATTATTTAGCTTTTTAAAACAGTTTAAATAAATATTTAATAAATTAAAATTTAAAGTTCTAATAATTATAAAAAAAATTCCACAAAACAGTTCATCATGTCTAGAGCACTTGGATGAAAATGGTTCGCAAAATGGACATCGGATGGTTCCTAAAAATTCGTTTCTACTTATATGTGTCAATTTATTAAAAAGTTTTAGTTGAATAAACAACAAATTATTTTATATCTAAAGATGGTTTGTAAATCAACTTATGACTCTAATAATAAATTTGATCGTTATATCTTTTAGAAATTTAAGTGATCGTACCTTTATATTTTAGGCAACATTTATAATATTTTTCAAAGATCAAAATAACTTGAAAATACATTTTAATAACCATTTTCTAGCATCAAATCAATTAAACTTATAGTTATATAATGAACTCAACAAAAAGTAAACATATGAAAGCTTTATGGTTATTTTTTTTATCAAATTCTAAGGTATGGTTATTATACACTCCACCATAAAAAATTAAGAAGAGTCTCAATGCTCATTGGCTAAGCCATTAATTGGATGAAAAATCCCCATTTGGGATGAGATCGACAATGTTAGCATACAAGTCCCCTCTATTAATCAAAGCACCTACAAACTATGATTTCATTTGGGATGGTTTTCTTACTACTGCTTAAAGAAGCTTTCTGATACAAAAATAAAATTTTTTGTACTGAAAAATTGCTATAAGCAGCAATAAGAAAGTGATCACAAATGAAGGTTAATAAATATATGAAAGTCTTAGCCTTTGTTTGGGACAATTTTCTTGCTGTTTTTTAAGCAAATTTTTAGTACAAAAAATTTTAGTTCAAAAAATTTTATACTAAAAAATTGCTGTAGAAAACACTAAAAAAATTTAACTTAAACCGTTGGTTAGAGCAGTATTTATGGGCCTATAAAAAAGAAATTCTTGTCACAATTAAATTAAAGCCATAGTATCAATAAAAAAATATCTAAGTAATTTTATAGAGCATTATGAATAGTCACTGTTATTGGCCTTATTGTACATGAGCTCGGCTTATTCCCAAGCTACTAAATTCATAGTCTTTCATGTTTGCATTCTCAAATTGTTCAAGGATGATAAAGCTTCTATCTATGATGCAAATATACATACACGACATAGATAAGAGATACATCAATTATTGAAAATATAATACACTGACACCGGTTGGATATAATATTATTATTTTTATATTTTAAATAGTGTATTAAAATTGAATAAGTATAATATTAAAAATAATAAGTAATTTAACTAGAATTTGTACTTAAAATGATTAAGATCTTGAGAGTCGGGCGTTAATGCGGCGTGTATCGGGCATCAAGAGAAGAGGCAATAATGTTGTCGGGAGTCTGGCATTGATGTTATGCATTA